GTGGCTCAAGTGGTAGGGCACTAGTCTTGAGCTGAAGAGCTGAGGGACAGTGCTCAGGGCTGAGCCAGGGCAGTCGCTGGGGCACATTGGATGAGGAGGGCGGGTAGAGGAGAAAGGGGCAGCGCGGGGCTCGTAGGAATCAGGCAGGAGTTGGGCAGACACAGCTGGAATCAGGACATGGCACACCCATCTGCCAGGGGCCAATTAAGCCAGAGGCTGGCAGGCTCTTGGGACACGCCCAGCAGCCGCCTTGCTGGAAAGCTTGCTAACCGTGCAATCGTGCCAAAGCTGGTGGATTCTACAAACGTGACCTCCCCCCCCCATGCCAGCTCCCCTCCTCCAGCCTTGGGTTTGGGGGTGGTGGGGTGGAGGAGGAGGAAACTCCTGTCTGGGGAAAGAGATGATCACTTGCCAGTTCCCTGTCTGCACCGGCTACAACCACCGCAGTCCAGCCTGGATGGGAGCCAGGCTCAGCCCCCAAGCTCAGCACCCTGAAACCTGAGCAGCCATTGGCCTTCCCCGTGGAGCCCACTACCCAGGGGAGGGCCAGCCACCCAGGGTCACCATGACCTCCTGCCTGCCTGCTTCCTGGCACAGCTCCTAGCCCTGCCCTGGCCTTGCTTTCCAGCTGCAGGCCTGAGGTGGGAGTGAATTTGGTGTGCACAGGCCTGGGCAGGGCCCCCACAGCCTTCCTCCATGGGGATTTGCTCTGAAATACAGACCTTGCTTATCCCCAGGTGAAGGACTCCCACTTTCTGTCCTGGATCTTAGGGTGCTGAGCCAACATCCTTTCCTACTTCAAATGACATCACTTCAAGGGTGGAGTGATTACAAGGTACCTTATCAGACGCTAGGAAAAGTTGTGAAGCTGGGCGCTAGTGCTTGCACCTGTAATCCTAGTTTCTCAGAAGGCTAAGATCTAAAGATTGTAATTCAAAACCAGCCCGGGCAGGAAAATCCTCGAGATCCATGCCCAGTTCAGCAGGAAAAAGCTGGAAATGGAGTTGTGGTTCAAATACTAGAGTGCTGTTAACCTTGAAGTAGGACAGAGCCTCAGTGCTGAGTTCAAGTGCCAATACTAGCATAAAAATGAACTAATGGAAAACTAAAAGAGCTGTGAAGTCAGATTGCCTGGATTCAAATCCCAATTCTGCAAACTTCTTGGCTATCTTGCTTTGAGCAAGCAGCCTAGCCTCTCTGTACACCTGATGTTTATTTTTTATCTACAAGATGGACCTGTCATACATCCTTAATTGGCTCATCCAAGGGTCAGCAAGCTTTATCTGGAAAGGACCAGAAAGGATTTATTTGTTGGTGTCTGAACCACTCACCTGTACTGAACAGCAGTCACAAGCAATATGCACATGAATGGACAGGGCTGTGTTTCAATAAAACTTTATTTATAGGCCCTGACACTTTAATCTCACATCCTTTTCATGAGTCACAAATATTCTCTTTTGGCTTAGTAGGTATTGTTAGCTATTTAACAATGCTGCACATGCGCACACACATACACACACACATTTTTAGCTCATGGATAAGGACAAGGTTTAGTCTGTGGACAGTCCCTTGCTGTCCCTTTGTCTTCATAAGTGCTTAGAACACCCCAGCTTTTGGGAGGGGGTTGAAGTCAAAGGTGTCCACAGGGCACAAAGCGGGCTATCTGCACGGTGGCTTGTTGAAGGGGCAAGGCTTTGGTGGCGGCCGTGGGAGGTCTGCTTTGGGGTGGTGCTGAGCTGGCCTGTGGAAAAAGCAGCTGAGGGAGGTATGGAGACATCACTTGGCAGGTGTGTCCAGCTGTGCCCTCGAACGAATCCCTTCTGCCAGGTCACCATCTTAGCTGTGAACTCCACAGTCCCGGAGTGGAACACCTCTCTCTGTTGTGCCCCTCCCAAAACACACTCCCAGACCCTGGGCTCATTGCCCAACCTCTATGGCCAGGGCCGGGGCGAGGCCTCCTCCTGTCTTCGGCGTAAGGCAGTGGGTGTCCAGATTTGCTACCTAAAGCCATATCTTGAAGCCCCAGCCTAGGCCAGGAAGGTGGGGGAAGCCCTGAGCTTGGGGTTTAAGAGCATCCTTCTCTCTCCAGACCTAAGGAAGAACACTCAGCTTGGCTTCCACCAAGACTGACCCTCCCCAGACCCATTGCTTCAGCCTCAGTCTCCTGGGCATGCTCAGTGTGGACCACAGGCTCTCGCTCCTCTCGGCCTGATCACATGTGAGAATGATAGGCAGAGCCCAGCAGGGCCCACCTGGTTCTCAGGAGGCCCCCTCAGCTTGGGGGGACCAGGGCTAAGTCCTTAGACCCCTCTCCCCCACCTACAGTGGGTGGTCCTGATCACCCAGTCTTGTCCCATCCTGCCTCAGGATTCACTAGGCAGCTGGGTGTCCGTGAGCTGGTGGGAAAAGGCTCTCTCCAAGTGCAAGGTGTTGTATGTGGGAGGTGGTGTGCCCGGCACCTGGGCATCCGGGGCTGGAGGCAGGCGCATGGCGGAGGTAAATGTGGGCAAATCATTGTCTATATCGAGGGCTGGGTTGTCCTGGCCCTGCTGGCTGGCTGCAGTCTCAGAGCCGGAGGGTGCCTGCTTCTGGGCCCACCACTCCTTGGCTTTCTGCCACTGGCGGCGAGCAATGATGGAGAAGAAATCGATGAAGAAGACCTCGATGATTTCGATCACGCAGACGACGGAGCAACTCATCCAGAGGCCCAGCTGGCCACCAAAGTTAGACAGGAGCATCTCGATCTGTAAGACAGCCCCAGATCCACCCTCAAGAGGAGCCCCATGCCACCAGGACCCACCCTGACTGGCCAGATTGATGCACACGTTCACAAGACCAGAACTCACACTGTTGGCTGGACTCTCCATGATGGATCTCTGGTTCAGATCTTTGTAGAATATCAAGAGTTTGGCCAGGTCAGTCCTGTAAAAATTGCACCAGGGAGAGCTCAGGTGAGTCAGGAGTCTTGGCATTGTGCTGGATGCCCGACCCCTCCCCACCCAGCCCTCAGCACCCCAGGTTCTGAGTTCCCTGCATCCGTAATATAAGAACCTGTCTGTGGGGCTTTTCCTTTCTCCTAGAGCTTATCCCTAGCCTGGTTCTGGGTCTCAGGATTACATACATAATGGTATATATTCCACAACTATTTTCACCTTCCAGATTAAGTCAGCACACCTGCCATCTCCCGCAACAGATGGCTCTTCATCAAAGTGACATTGGTAATTATTTGATCACAATCTCAAATATGTATAGGGAATGAGGAAGACTTGTGGGGTACGGCCATAGGAGTGATACCCAGCTAGCATGTATTAAGTACTTCCTGGGTTTACAAGCTTTGTTCAAAACAAAACAAGAACAAAAACAACAATTTCTTAAAACTCTTTCTATGAACTAACTCATTTAAGTTTCACCACCTCTGTGGGTAGGAAGGGAAGTGTGTTCTAATCATCTTCCCCTGCCCCTGCCACCAGCCCATTTCACAGAAGTGTAAATGGAGACCCAGGTTGGTTAAAGAATCTGACAATTGCATCGCTAACATTTAGCTGAGACAAACATCGAATCCCCCACAGCCCTGGCTCCATTCAGACCCATCTCCACAGTGTGGTGGCACACGCCAATGCCCAGGCTCATTCTGAAGCTGCAGCTATTACTTAGATGGTTGGCACAGTGTAAGGATTGAAGTTCATGATTTTTTGGGCATTTTGATCTTTTCTGGAATGCTGGAAATCTGGGAGTGGGGTGTTTTGATTTGGCCTAGGGTGTCATTGGTTTGCAAACCAAGTTTGCCAAAGCTTGACCTAAGTCTATTTGTATCACTAGAACACAAACCCCTTGAGGGAAGATGCCACGGGTGCTTGGTTACTTGGTGCCCCCAGGAGCCACACAACACCTAGTGTCCGCCCGATGTTCAAGTGTCCTCATGCCCCAGGACAGGGCCCTGGGAGATGGTGATGGTCCAAGCCATGCCCTCACTGTCTGAACCAGATCTCTCCCATCATAGCTGGCCCCTGTCCAGCCTGGTTGAGTGTTTGCTAACGTTCCCTTGGAAATAACTCAAGAGGGATTAGAAATTCTAAGTTGTGCTATATCAGTAACCATGAGATACATTTTCTGGGCTATGATCAATATTTTTTACAAAATTAAATAGACTGAGAGATGTGTGTTGAAAGGGATACTCAAAGTATTAGCCAACTGGGGTGACCTGGGTATCAATGAGGCATGTTAGCTCGTGGGAGCTTTGGAATGGCTACACACTCAGCCTTCCTGCATCAGGAACTTTCAGACCTGTGTGTTCAAATGACAGTGCTTGGGAGAATTTCAGAAAATAATCTGCATCTGTCCCGAATATGTACAGACCCCTTCCCTCCCTCCCTCATTCCCTCCCTCCCTCCTTCCCTCCCTTCCTCCACTCTTCCTTCCTTCCTTCCTTCCTTCCTTCCTTCCTTCCTTCCTTCCTTCCTTCCTCCCTCCCTCCTTCCCTCCCTACCCTCCCTCTTTCTATTCTAGTACTGTGACTTGAACCCAGGGCCTCACACTCTTGCTTGGCTTTTTTCTTTTTACTTAAGGATGCCATTCTACCACTTGAGCCGTGTCTCCATTCCAGGCATTTTGCTGGTTTAATTGGAGATAAAAGTCTCTCAGATTTGTCTCCCAGGCTGGCTTTGGACCTTGAACTTCTCAGATCTCAGCCTTCTGAGTAGCTAGGATGACAGGCGTAAGCAACCAGCACCTGGCTACAAACTTTGTCTTGTCATTACCTTCAATAAACAAGCTGATACAGCAAGTCTTTACATAACATTTGCATCATGTTATGTATCCTGAGCAAACTAGAGATGCCGGCCTTAAAGGTACAGGCGGATGTGGTAGGTTCCATGCAAACGCCCTACTATTTTGCATGAGGGATTTGAGCATCCTGGGAGGGGGAGGGCCTCAGAACTAATCCTGCGAGAATACCCAAAGACAGCTGTGAACAACTGGTTGGGCCCAAGGTACAGGAACCATCTGAGCGTTTGCTGAGTGCTTTGTGCATCATGAGGAAATAGTGTGGCCAGTTCGGTTGTATTTCAACTAGGACTTCAGTGCGTTACAATGTACAAAGTATTGCAGGAGGCGGATCACAGTGAAAGGAAAGTCAGGGCTGGGCCTGGCTCACGATCGGGAGCTTGATAAATATTTGTTGACGGAATGATTGAAAGACTAGGCGAGGGCTGGGTAATGAGGAAACAGAGGAAGAGCTGGGGGACTCAGGCAAGAGGGAAATGGGCAGAGAGGTCAACTTACTTGTTGAGCTTTTTGTTTATTTGCTGGCCTTGGTCCCGGATGAGAACAGGCAGCAACCATTTCTGTGATGGAGAAAGAAAGAAAGAGGATGGGACCTGGGATGTCCGCTGCCCTCCCCCCACCTCTGCCACTGCTCCCCCTCTCCTCAGGCAGAGAGCCCCCCCTCCTCTTGGGGCCACCCCAAAGTCAGAGGATGACAAGGACAGTCAGAAAAAGAGTAGAACTGACCTCAGAGACTTCAGATGGCCACCGGGCAAGGCTGGTGGTCAGGGTCCATTCCTTAAAGCTTAAGGAGAGGAATAGAATGATCGTGGGTGGCTCAGGGTACCCAGCCCTGCCCTCCTCCCCACGCCCTGCCCAGGCCCACACTTACCTGCAGGTTTCCCTGCACACCGACTGGCAGCCCAGCTCTTCCCGGACAAAAGCCTGGTACAGCTTGTAGTAGCAATACACTGACAGACACAGGACACAGCAGAGTGAGCACAAGAGTCATGGTACCTTTCCTGAGGGTCCCAGGCCACCCCAGGAACCCCACCCCACCCTTGCTTCATTAGCCCTCCTCTCATTTTCTGCAGACATTGGCTCTCTGGAAGCCAGCACTGGTCTGTGATTTGGGGGAAAACAGAATACGGGTGGCGTTGAACACAGATGGCTCAGGCCTACATTCCTAGTTACAGATGAGGTACAGATCTGAGGACAGAGGTTCAAAGCTAGCCTGGGCAGGAAAGTCTGTAGGACTCTTATCTCTAATTAACCAGCAAAAAGCCAGAAGTGTGGCTCAAGAGGTAGAGTGCCAGGCCGGAGCAAAAATAGTTAAAGAATAGCATCAAGGCCCTGAGTTCAGGCCCTAGGATTGGCACCTCCATTCTCACACTAGTATTGAAAGTCGCAAAAGGAGTGAGATAAGGTTCAAGCAGCCTTTGGCCTGGGTCCAGTTCTGTTATTCCTTTGGCTATGTTAGCTCGGGCAAGCTGCTTCACTTCTGGGCACTGTCCCTGACGGGTTTTTTCCCCCCTCAAGGCTAGTGCTCTACCAGTTTGAGCCATAGCTCCATGTCCAGTTTTCTGCTGGTTAATTGGAGATAGGAGTCTCATGGACTTTCCTGCCCCAGCTGGTTTTGAACTGTGAGCCTCAGATCTCAGCCTCCTGAGTAGCTAGGATTACAGGTGTGAGTTGCAGGCATCTAGCATCTAGTGAGCATCTTATACCTCCCTTAAGGAAAAAGGTAATGGGGTAGAACAGAGGTGTGTCTCAGGATAGAGCCCGGTGCTGACTAGCTGCTCCCTCTCCTGGAAGGTACACTGTTGGGGGGTGGCACACTCACTCCAGTTGGGGTGTTGTTGGTAATTGCAGTAGTTGGCGCCTGGAGGAAGAGGCTGGCTGTACTGAGCACATCCACACTTCTTTACCATTTTTGTCTGGAAGCATGAGTATAGGCAGATCTGAAAGAGAAAAACCCAAGATGCTCTGAGTTACCTCCCTGCTCTACCTATCCCTGGGGGCCCAGGGACTACTGCATGCGCCCACCTCCTCCCCCTCTGCTGAGAATCTGGACTGAATCGTGCAGATCAGGTTGAGCCAAGGTTCATTCTCTATGGCAAGAGTGCTGATCCCCACCCCCAAATCGAGAAAAGTAACAACCTCCAAGACATGGATGGAAGCTGGGTGCTGGTGGCTCACACCTGTAATCCTAGTGCTGGTGGCTCACACCTGTAATCCTAATGCTGGTGGCTCACACCTGTAATCCTAGCTACTACTCAGAGGGCTGAGATCTAAGGATGAGGGTTTGAAACCATCCTGGACAGCCACATCTGTAAGACTCTTCAGTTCACTGGCAAAAAAAAAACAAGCCAGAAGTAGAGGTTTGGCTCAAGTGCTAGCCTAGAGTGGAAAAAGTCAAGGAAGCAAAAGTGCAAGGCATTGAGTTTAAGCCCGAGCTCTGGCACCAGTAAAAGAGAGAGGGGTGAGGGGGAGGAATAAATAAACAAATAAAAAGAAGGAAGAAAGGAAGAGAAAAAGAACAAAGGGAAAGAAACACATTCCAATCCCCAGATCCATGCCCTCCCCACTAGAAGATCAGAAGCCATCAAAACTACCAAGACATTAATGCATCAAAGCTAACCGCAGGCAGCCGCCCCGAAGTCAGATGTTCTGGTTCTAATCTTCTTCTTGCCACCTACCTGCTATGTGGCCCTAAGCCAGCCACTTGACTTTAATGATTCTTTCCTTTCTTCCTCTTTGAAACAAGAGCAATGATACCTCTTTCCTCAGATTAGTATGAGCACGTGTTGTATCGACGAGTTTGAACCTGGCTAGCTTAGCACTAAATATATTTTTCTAACGAGCTTACTTTTCCTTTGGGGCTTAAAGTCCCTATTATAAACAGTCTCCAGCTAACAGTTCCTTTTTATTTACTTATTTAGTTTTCTAAACGGGAAGGTTTATTTATTGGAGGGGAGGTTTGGTGGGAAGGTTTGTTGTTATTGTTGTTGTTGTTGTGTATGTGTTTGTGTCTGCGCGTGCACTAAACTTGGGGCTCCAACTCAGGGCCTCGGCCCTGTCCCTGAGCTTTTTTGTTCAAGGCTAATGCTCTACCACTTGAGCCACAGTTCTGCTTCTAGCTTTTTGGTGATTACTTAGAGCTAAGAGCCTCATGGACTTCCCTGCCTGGGCTAGGCTTTGAACATGATCCTCAGCTCTCAGCCTCCTAAGTAGTTAGGATTACAGATGTGAGCCACTGGTGCCTGGTTTATAAAAGACCCTTTTATACAGTGTCTACACAATCTCCTAGCATTGTGATGGGAGGGGCTCAGTGCAGAGGGCAGCTGATCACTCTCCTGTGTCTGGATGATTGATCTGCATGGAGACCAATTGCAGCTCTCCAAGGATGGAAAAGGAGACTTAAGAGCTCATCCCTTATTGCATTTGAGAGCCAGAAATTGCAGTTCATTCAGGGCCCAGTGACAAATATAAGTCACGAATGAGTGAGAACATCCTTGGCTTATTTAATGGCGTGGCTGCTCTCCTTGCTTGTTTTGCTGGAATCTGGGCTCCAGGATCGCCAGATCGTCTTGTTTTCCGAGACAAGCTGGAAATCGGTCTTTTCTTGTGACTGACTTTCCCTCATTTTCAACTATCATCCAGGTTAGACTCTGATGTGCAGCCGGCAGAGGCCCCAGAGCGGATCCAAGGGACGTGACTTGATCTGCCCACCCGTGAATGAGGGACACACAGCAACTGGTGAGCCAAACACTTCGACCCCTCTGCCTATCACTCCCCGACTCGCTTCCCTCCCACCCCTCACCTGCCAAGGTCTCGATTTAGCCAGCGGCTGGTCTCGGCTGTACATTGTGTTCCCCACAAACCTCAGTGAATCAATTAAGCTCTGGTTACGGAGGATTTGGAAGAGGACTGGAACCAGCCAGCATCATTTGTTCACATTTTGAGGCCTTTGGACAAACCCCAGGGCTCCTCACCCCAGTTCCTGGTACCAGCCACACCTCAGCCCAGGGAGAACTTGTCTCCTGGGTCCAAGCCACAAACCAGGACTAGGTTCAACCACATCCCCGCCCCTCCCACCCCCCCACAGGCCATACCTGGAGGGAATAAGCAGCCTTGTAAATGTTCTTGACCGGAACGTCACTCCCGTCCTCTGTGCACTGGCTGTAGGGTTCGCTCAGCTTGAACGACTCCGTCTGCAATCAAAGAGACCCCCATTCATCCCTGCCCCAGGGGAAAGGGAGATCTCCAATGGGAGGGTTCCCTGGTAGCCAGGGGGCCATACTGTTGTTTCTTTCACAAAACAATGTGACATTGGCTGGGCACAGGTGGCGCACCCCTGTCATCCTAGCTACTCAGAAGGTTGAGATCTGAGGATTGCGGTTCAAAGCCAGCCCAGGCAGGAAAGTCCGTTGAGACTCTTACCTCCAATAAGTCACCAGAAAACTGGAAGTGGCGCTGTGCCTCAAAGTGTTAGTGCAGTAGATGTGAGCAAAAAGAGCTCAAGGATAGCGCCCAGGTCCTGAGTTCAGGCCCCGTGACCACCACCAATGACACAAACAAGACACAGCGAAATCCCCAAAGATCGAAGGTGATGGATTCCCTGATCTTATGAAGCTTCCATTCTAGATACATCCGTGATGCTGGGTAGAGAGACTAGAAGGCTTGGGAGGATCCGGATCAATCCATAGAGTGACTGAGCAGGCATCCCTGACAAAGAGCTTTGTCTCGTGGTCAGCTCAAATGTGAAATGGTAAGAAAAAGCTAGATTTGTGGACAGATGGGGGAAGAACAGACAGAAGGAGGCTGGAGGCAGGAGAGGCCAGGACAGCACCACAGCCAAACAGAGGAACCCAGGGAGATGATGTCAGAGGTGGGGGGGGGGAAGGCAGGGGAGGCCAGATGAAGCCCTGCTGAGAAGTCTGGATTTGGCCTTCTGAGGGATAGGTAAGCCATTGGCCAATCCATGAGACTGGGCCAGGAAGGACCAGGAGGATATATGGGGACAATCCCCTGTCTGGGGATCATCTCTCTCTCTTTTGTTGATTGTGGGGCTTGAACTCAGGGCCTGAGCACTGTCCCTGAGCCCTTTTATTCAAGGCTAACACTCTACCACTTAACAGCCTCAGCTCCGCATCTGGTTTGCTGGTGGTTCACTGAAGATAAGAGTCTCATGGACTTGCCTTCCCTGGGTTGGCTTCAAGGGAAGCTTTGGGTCAAGTGGTAGAGTATCAGTCTTGAATAAAAAAGCTAAGGGACCATGCACAGATCCTGAGTTCAAGATCCAGGAAGCCACACAAACACACACACACACACACACACACACACACACACACCCTCCAAAGAGATCCAATGAAGGGAGGGTTTCCTCAATAGTGGCATTCCCCCTTCCTCCAGTAGAAATCAGTCCACGCCATTCATTTCCTCAGCAACCATCCACCATTCTACCTATTGTGCCTTGCTTTCTGTCCCATTTCTTCTGCCAATGGCTCTGGTGACCTCTTGCCAAACCCAGGAAGGTGAGTGGCGATGGCTCTTGACTTTGCGTGACCTCTCAGCGGCATTTGTCACCTTTGGTCTTACCTTCTTTCATTTCCCTGACACTACCTGTTCCTGATTCTCTGTCTCAGTCATCCATTGTCCTTCTGCTAAGCCCCGAATGTTGGCCTGTGTAAAGGTTCTGTGTCCGTCTTGAGTGAGGGTATTTATTTCCACTTCTAGAATGACCTCCTGTGTTCTGGCTCACAGCACCTGCTACTGGATACTTTATCTTCACTTTGTTTTCCCAGAGGCACAACAAACTGGGTATGTCCTGAATGGAAGCAGTCCTCATCTCCCCGAGTATTCTGGACCTCCTCTTGTACTCCTTAATTCAGAGGCGGATTTAAATACTCCTTGGATTTTCCTGGCTTTACTCGCTCACATCCTACTACATTCACACTGGACCATCTCCAAACCCACCCCTTCTGCATCTTCACAGTCATTGCCTCCTAGCAGCAACTCATCCATTTTCTGGAAAGTCTGTGAATGTGCTACCTGCCAGAAGTCTTCCATCTATCCGCTCAATCAAGCATTCAGACATCTACTCATCTACCCGTTCACCCATCCACCTATCCATCCATATATCTGTATAAACAACCACTCATCCATCCACCAACTCATCCATCTACCCATTCACTCATCTACCCATTCATACATCCATTCACCCATCCATCCATCCATTCAAATATATACTCAACCACTAATCTATCCACCCATTGATCTATTCATTCACCTACCCATCCATTCATGCATGCATGCACCCATCCATTGTCCTGCAGCTATCCATCCATGTGGCTAATACATCCATGTATCCATGCATCCATTCGTCCAATATTGACTGATGATAAACTATAAAAATTAAGCCTCAAATGAGTCAAACAAAGCCTTCATTTCCACAGAGATTGGAACTGTATCACAAAGATGTTGGTTTTTGCTTCCCCCCCTCCCTTTTTGTGTATTACTGGGGTATGGACTCAGGACCTTGTGCTTGCTAGGCAGGTATTTTACCACTTGAGTCATACCCCCAGCCCTATTTGCTTTAGTTATTTTTCCCCATAAAGTCTCATGGTTTTTTGCCCAGGCCAGCCTGGATGGACTTTGATCTTCTACCTCCATTTCTTGAGTCACTGGGATTACAAGCAAGGAACACCACACCTGGCTTGTTTTTGCCTGACTTGCCTCAAAGAGAAGTCCTCTCATCTCATCCTCCTGAAAATTGTCTCACTCTTTTTTTTTTTGTCAGTCTTGGGGCTTGAACTCTGGGCTTGGATACTGTCCTGCAGCTCTTCAGCTCAAGGTGAGTGCTCTACCACTTGAACCACAGAGCCACTTCTGGTTTTCTGAGTGATTTATTGGAGATAAGAGTCTCGTGGACTTCCCTGCCCAGGCTGGCTTTGAACTCGATCCTCAGATCTCAGCCTCCTGAATAGTTAGGATTACAGGTGTGAGCCACTAGCACCCAGCTTGTCTTCTCTCTTAAAAATAAAATCTCTCAGGCTGGGAAGGTGGCTCAGTGGTAGAGTGCTTGCCTTGCATGCATGAGGCCCAGGGTTCAATTCCTCAGCACCACATAAGCAAAAAGAAAAAAGCCAGAAGTGGTGCTGTGGCTCAAGTGGTAGAGCACTAGCCTTGAGCTGAAGAGCTGAGGGACAGCGCCCAGGCCTAGAGTTCAGGCCCCATGACCAGACCACCCACCAAAAAAAAAAATCTCTCCAAGAAGGCTCTCTGTTGTGTTCATGTTTGAATTTTCAATGCTTTCAACAAATAAGGAAAGATTGTTAACTAGTGACTTAAGTCTGAATACACTTATTAAAAATAAATTAATTCAGCCAAGCGCAAGTAGCTCCCACCTGTAGCCCTAGCTACTCCTAAGGCTGAGATCTGAGGAATGCAGTACAAAGCCAGCCTGGGCAGGAAAGTCCATGAGACTCTTAACTCCAATTAACCACCAAAGAATACCCAGAAGTGGAGGTGTGATTCAAGTGGTAGAATTCAAGTGGCTTTGAGCACAGAAAAAAGTCAGGAACAGTGCTCAGGCTCTGAGTTAAAGCCCCAGGACTGGTACAATAAATAGATAAATAAAATAAGGAATGCATAAATAAATAAATTTATTAATTAATGTGAAAATAATGAAGTATCTCCTTGCTGATCTCTTTGCAACCTCTATGTTTTTGTTATTGTCCTAAATAACACAAATCATTCTGAGGGACCCTGCTCTGTAACTTTGAATTTTTTTACATTTCAAACTTGAGGTCGCAGAAATTCTCTTCACTTAGTGAAGAGAATATGCCAGGTGCTGGCAGCTCACACTTGTAATTCTAACTACTCAGGAGGCTGAGATCTGAGGATTGTGGTTTCAAGCCAGCCTGAGCAGACAAATGAAGAGACTGTCAAAAAGCCAGAAATGGAGGCATGGGTCAAGTAGTGGAGCACCAGTCTTGAGCTAAAAAGCCAAGCCAGATCAGGAAGCCCTGAGTTCAAGCCCCCATACCAGGACGAACAATAACAAACAAGCAAAATAAGTAAATAATAAAAGCAAAATAAGTAAATAACAAATACAAAACAATAACCCTGTCAGCCAGGCACCAATGGTTCGCGCCTATAATCCTGCTATTCAGGAGGTTGAGAGCTGAAGATCGAGGTTCAAAGCCAGCCCGGGCAGGAAAGTCCGTGAGACTCTTATCTCCAATCAACTGCCAAAAAAGCCAAAAGTGGAGCTTTGACTTAAGTGGTAGAGTGCTAGACTTGAGAGAAAAAAATCACCCAAAGACAGCATTCAGGCCTGAGTTCAAGCCTTGGGACTCTCTCTCTCTCTCTCTCTCCTCTCTCTCTCCTCCTCTCTCTCTCTCTCTCTCTCTCTCTCACACACACACACACACACACACACACAAAGTAACATTGTCTCTGAATAGCATTCCTTGAGTACCTTCTTCCATTAAAAAGAAAGACCAAAAGAAAGTAGAAAGACAGAAAGAAGAAAGGAAAGAGAGAGAGAAAGAAAGAAAGAGAGAGAAAGACAGAAAGCCCACCCAGGTGAGCATGTCCTTCAAATGGTTTCAAGCCAGCCTGAGCAGACAAATGAAGAGACTGTCAAAAAGCCAGAAATGGAGGCATGGGTCAAGTAGTGGAGCGCCAGTCTTGAGCTAAAAAGCCAAGCCAGATCAGGAAGCTAGCCTGGGCAGGATATTCTATGTCCTCCATGATACTTGGAGGCGGGGCTTTGGCAGTGGTTAGGGCTAGATGAGGTCATGAGGGACCCTCACCGTGGCACTAGTGTCTTTGGAGGAGGAAGACTTGAGCAATGGGTTCATTCACCACTGTGTTATGGTAAAGTCTGCGGCTCTTCCCAAGTTCCAGTACCCTCAACTTCCCAACCTCCAGAATTTCCATCCAAACCAACCTCTGTTCATTATGTCCACCAGTTTAAGGCATTTGCACACAAAACGGATCGAGACATCCGTGGTGTGCCCGCATTCAGCCTGTATGGTGGAGGTCAACTCATTGGGTCTTTTCTTACTGTTGATCTTCTCTCTCTATTGGACTTGAGGCTCCATCAGGCCTGGGACAGAGCTTCACAGGGTTCCTGGGCCGAACACAGAGGAGGTGCTCAGAAAAATTAGTACTGAGTGGAAAAATGATGGCTGGATAGCCAGGCTTCCGATGTCAGCTGTGTCATTTCACTCAATGCAAAACCATGTGTTTTGGGCTAGATGGGCCTTTTGTATCATCTCACGTCTGCTCTCAGAATTGCTCCCAAGTTCTAGCATGGTTTTGGTTTTGTTGTACCTGTCCTGGGGCTTGAACTCAGGGCCTGGGCATTGTCCCTGAGCTTTTGTCCTCAAGGTTAGTGCTTTACCATTTGAACCACTGCTCTACTTCTGGCTTTTGGTGGCTCATTGGAGATGAGATTCTCCTGGGCTTGCCTGCCTGGGCTAGTTTTGAACTGTGATCCTCAGATCTCAGACTACTTGAGTAGCTAGGAGTAAAGATGTGAGACACCAGTGCCTGATACTGGCATGATCTGCGTTTGTTTGTTTGCTTACTTTTGTAGTGCTAGATGGATCTCAGGGGCCTTGGGCATGCTAGTCAAGTGCTCTGTCACTGAGCTGCAATCCCTAGGAAACAGCTCAAGTTTCTAAAGTTTTCCAAGAGTGCAGTCTGTTATAATGACTGCAGGGGGTTGGGTCATTTTGAGAAAGATTCCAGGCTAGCCCAATTGGCACTGATGAGCAACTAGATTGAGAAAGCACTGCTCTGGAGGCTGTTTGTGAAGTGGGGCATGCTGGATCATTTAATGTGAGCCATCCAATCTAGACATAAATAAAACATGAAGGGATAGTCCACAATGAAACTGTCTAACACACACACACACATACACACACACACACAAAACAAACAAACATATACATGTGAACAAATGTCACTAAGAAGAAATGCAGCCCAAGCACTGGGGCTCACACCTGTAATCGTAGCTACTCAGGAGGCTGAGATCTTAGTGACAATCACAGTTCAAAGCTAGCCTGGGCAGGATATTCTATGAGACTCTTATCTCTAATAAACCAGCAAAAGCTAGATGTGGAGTTGTGGCTCAAGTGGCAGAGCACCAGCCTTGAGTAAAGTAAGCTTAAGGAACAGCGCCCAGGCTCTGAGTTCAAACACCAGAATGAACACTGACCAAGAACTGCATAGAAGTCCCATTGGATTCATGTGTCCAGTGATAGATCTGAGTGTTCTCCACAGCCAATGGGATCAGAGAAGGTCAGAGACTTAAAGGATTCTGGGTAACAGAGATGAACCGAATGAGATTGTGATAGGCAAATTAGACCTTTGATGGGTGCATGCAGTCATAATATTCAATAGACATATGTGAAAATGGAGCCAGGGAAGTTGAGGGGAGGGGTGGGGTCGGGAGAGATGGGGGAGGATGCTGGAAGGCGTGACATGGATCTAGGTGCCCTGAATTCACACACTGACATGTTGAATCCAAACCCTTTTGTAGAACTATTTAGACATAATACCAAAGAAGTACAAACGAAAGTTTAAATAAATAGACCTTTGAAAGCCTGAGAACTTCCCATTCATCTTAGGCAGTTGCTTAGAGGTCCTAGCTGGCCCTGGTTTGCTCTGGCTGGCCAGAAAGGCTGTTAATTTGGTCTCTTTGTGTTATGGACTAATATGTCTGAAGCTTTGTCTCCTCGCTTGTAAGTTCTATAAGCACTAGCATTTCTTTTTCTGCAGTTTGGGGACTTGAACACAGAACCTGGGCACTGTTCCCTAAGCTTTCTTTCCTTTTTTTTTTTTTTCTCAAGGCTAGCATTCTACCACTTAGCTTTCTGTTTTCTACCACTTAGCTTTTTATGCTCAAATCTGGCCTTTCCTGACTTGAGCCACAGCTCCACTTGCAGTTTTTTGGTGGTTAATTGGCAATAAGAGTCTCAGGGACTTTCCTGCCTAGGCTGACTTGAAACTCTGATCCTCAGATTTCAGTCTCCTCAATAGCTGGGATTACAGGCGTGAGCCATTGGCGGCCTGGCTATCCTGTTATTATTATTATTATTATTAGCCAGTTGTGGTGTTTGAGCACTGTCCCCTGAGCTTTCTTCTCAAAGCTAGTGCTCTACCACTTTGAGACACAGCACCACTTTTGGTTTTCTTGGTGGTTAATTACAGATAAGAATCTCACAGACTTTCCTGCCCTGGCTAGCTTCCAACTGTGATCCTCAGATCTCAGCCTCCTGAGTAGCTAGGAATATAGGCATGAGCCACCAGCATCCATCTTATCTTTTTCTTTTTAAATTCTTTCCCCCAGGAGCATATTAGCTATCCTCCACTCTGAGTCTAAGCAGACTGGAATTTTCTCTTACCAGGTGCATTCCTATGGAGGTTGACATCGCGGTCTCGATCTCTGTCCCCACGTCTTCGATGAAGGGGTACTCGTTCTGCCGGTGGATCAGCACTTTAGCTCCAGTGGAGGACACCAGGTAGGGGTTGTATTCCTCCTCGTTGATGTACAGAATCACCTGTAGCCCTGAAAGACAAGACAGGGCGCAGAGGTCACCAGCCAGCAGGGTCAAAGGAAACATTCTCTCTGAGTGATAGTGGCTGAGGTTTGAGGATTGTGGTAAAAAGCCAGTTGGGGCAGGAAGTCTGTGAGACTCATATTTCCAATCAACCATCAAAAAGCTCAAAGTGGAGTTGTGGTTCAGGTCATAGAATGCCAGACCTGAGCAAGAAAAGCTAAGCTTAGCTGGGCACTGGTGGCTCACGCCTGTCATCCTAGCTTCTCAAGAGACTGAGATCTGAGGATCGTGGTTCAAAGCCAGCCCAGGCAAGAAAGTTTGTGAGACACTTATTTCCAATTAACCGCCAGAAAACCACAAGTAGAGCTGTGGCTCAAAGTGGTAGAGCTTTGAGCAGAAAAGCTCAAGGACAGTGCCCAAGCCTTGAGTTCAAGGCCCACAAACAACAAAACCACAGCAACAACCACAAAAACTGGCAATGTGAGACCTTGAGTTCAAGACTCAGTACCAGCGTGTGCATGCATGTGCACGCTCTCTCTCTCTCTCTCTCTCTCTCTCTCTCTCTCTCTCACACACACACACACACACACACACACACACACACTTTGTTGGTGCATTGGGAAGCTCAAACCCAAGACTGGACAGCTTCCAGAAATGGAAAGGCCCAGGAGGGTAGGACTTGCTGGGTGCTAGTAGTTCATGCCTTTAATTCTAGCTACTAAGGAGGCTGAGGATCACAGTTTGAAGTCCGCCTGGGTAGGAAAGTCTGTGAGACTCCTACCTCCAATTAACCAGCCCAAACGCTGGAAGTTGAGCTATGGCTCAAGTGGAAGAGTCAAAAAGTTCAAAGACAGCAAGCACCGAGGCCCTCAGTTCAAGCCCCAGTACCCCACCCCCTCCACACACACACACACACACACACACGTTCCATTTGTGTAAGAGGTTGTTTTTTTTTTTTGGGTCCGGTCATGGGGCCTGAACTCTGGGCCTGGGCACTGTCCCTCAGCTCTTCAGCTCAAGGCTAGCGCTCTACCACTTGAGCCACAGCGCCACTTCCGGCTTTTTTCTTTTTGCTTATGTGGTGCTGAGGAATCGAACCCAGGGCCTCATGCATGCAAGGCAAGCGCTCTACCACTGAGCCACCTTCCCAGCCCTAATGTAGGAGTTTTTGAGAATTCCTTCTATCACTACTTCCCTATAAAAGAACAGCTGTGACCTGGGTCTGATGGTGTAATAGCAATTCTGCTAATAGTGCTCAACAAGAATGATAATAAGTGGCACTTACTCAGTGTTTCATATATGCAAGGCTGAGCTGTGTCCTCTCAATCCCTGTATGGAAGCCCTATCCTCCAATTGGAGGAGGTTTGGAGAAAGCCCTTGAGTTAAGATTAAGGGGAGTCTTAAAGGTGTGGCCGCAATCTGATAGCATGTGTGCCCTTCCTAACCCAGGGAGAAACATCCCAGCAGACTCTCTCCACCTGTCTCGTCTCTCTCCCTCCACTTGCAGTGACAGGAAAGGCCAGGTGAGGGCCTGGAAGAAGACAGAGGCCTGCAGCCCAAGGGCAGAAGAAACCAAATTTGCCAGCACCATGATCCTGGGCTTCTGGTCTCTGTTCACCATGAGAAATAAATGCCTGTTACCTAGGCAACCAAGTCTCATGTGTGTGTGTGTGTGTGTGTGTGTGTGTGTGCGCGCGCGCATGCGTGCCTTTACCCTAGGGCTTGAACTTTAGGGCTTGAACTCAGGGGGCCTGGGCACTGTCCCTGAGCTTTTATGCTCAAGGCCAGCATTCTACCACTGGAGCTGCAGCTCCACTTCTGTTTCTTTGCTGGTTAATTGGAGATAAAGAGTCTCATGAATTTTTCTGGTAGGGCTGGGTTTGAACAATGAGCCTCAGATCTCAGCCTCCTGAGTAGCTTGGATCACAGGTATCATGGAGGATTTTGCTATGGTCTCTTAAGCAGACAGAGAGTGTGTTCAGGGCCTTGCTCTAACCTCTTGGCCTACTTAAGTCCCCTCCTTTGTGGGGACAGAGTCTCACTCTGTCCATGAAGATGAAGGGCCGTAACCTGACCAAGGCTGCACAGCAAGAGGCACAGCTGGAGTTTGGCTCCAAAACCTGTGCTGTTCACTAAGCTAAAGTAAGTCTATCTGGCTAATGTCCTCATCAGCCACCTGCATGGTGGCTTAAACTCCAACTGGGCCCTTCAACCAGAGTGCAGTGGTTTCCCAGCAGGGAGTGGAGGCAGCGGTGTCTCTGCGCCTCTTTCAAAGATAAAGAAGAGAAGCCCAAAAGGAAAGCAAAGATTGGATGCGGTGCCCATACCTGTAATCCCAGCTACAAGGGAGGTGAGGGTGGAGGACTGAGGTTTAAAGGCAGCTCAGGGAAGCGGAGGAAGAAGAAGAAGAAG